AAAATAAACCCTACTCAAAGAGTGGTAGAATTTGCAGAAAAATTTCCTGATGAAATTAAGGATAAAACCCAACTCCAAAGATTTCTAGGTAGTCTTAACTATGTAGCAGACTACTACAAAGACCTGGCTAGGGACCGACAACTGCTTCAAAAGAGACTAAAGAAAAGTCCTCCGGAGTGGAGTGATAAGTTCACTCAAATAGTAAGAAGAATAAAGCAAAGGGTAAAAACCCTTCCATGTCTCAATATTCGTCATTCAGAGATCCCCAAGATCGTAGAAACTGATGCTAGTGAAAATGGATATGGAGGAACCCTAAAGCAACGTAGGAATGGAAGAGATGAAATCATCCAATTTACCTCTAGTACGTAGAATGAAACCTAGAAAAAAATATTCTACTGTCAAAAAGGAAATGTTAAGCATTGTTTTATGCATCTCAAAATTTTAAGGAGATTTGATAAATCAACATTTTACTTTGTAAATTGATTGTAAATTTGCAAAAGAGATTTTGGAAAAAGATGTAAAAAATTTGGTTTCAAAACAAATAAGCTATTCTATCTATATTTGATTTCAAAATTAAATATATTAAAGGATCTGATAATGCTCTACCACATTTTTTGACCAGAGAATTCCTTCAAGGTCATCTAATTAAAGATGGCCAACAGGAGACAAGATCTTCCTCCAAGTCCTAATCACAGGCATCAAAGAAGGACTAATTAGTTCAACCTTTGAACTTATTAGTTCAGGTCAATCTCTACTAGGACTAATCAGTCCCCCAAGGCTTCTCCCTTAATTAGGGAACCCTCTCCAGCAATTGATGAAGCTAATTTCAACTAGTACATAACCAACTCTTCAAACTTCATGGTAACAATATCTCGTGAAGAAACAGTTGCGGTATCCTCTCATGTAAATCCAAAGGGTGCTCTTCAACATCTCGCCTTAGAATTTCTTGATGGTAATCATTTCATAGTATGTGGTCTAAATAAAGACCAAAAATACTATGAAGAATTTCTCCTTCATACAGGTTTTGCTAGAATTCAACACTACTACAGGGACCCTAGTAAATCAGAAATAACTTATTCAAGCTAGTAATAGTTAAATTCATGACGAAGGCATCATGGGGTGACTTCAAAAAACTGAGATTCATCACCAAGCCAATAGATAGGAGACCCATAATGTTCAATTACTAGGATTATCAGGATGCTTGGTATAAGGTATTTTTGGTTCAGAGTCCTATCTTCAAGCATTCGTGGTTCATCCGGTTCTCTAAAGAGTTTCAAGGCCCAGATACAGATTGGGTCTATGTTTGGTGGACTACATGGGGAGTTTCAGATGATATCTTCCCCCAAAAATGAATTATTAGATAAATATTTAAATTTTGGGTAGGGAAGAAGCTATTTAGAGTTCGAACATGTAAAACAATTTGAATTCTTCAAAACATATCGCCTCCCTTGGATCCTGAAATGGAGTTACCATTTGGATGTTTTGTTGATGCCTCCATCCATTGGTAGAATCATTGAAATTAAGTGGTGGGATAAGTTCAACCTCACATCAGCTCTTAAGCCAATAGAGGAAGACGAGGTTTTTCAGACCCTGTTCGAGTCCTATTTGTTTTACTATCTGGACTAGATACCCGAACATATAATGGGTATATTGGATTCTCCCTCCTCCTAGACTTCTGAGGTGGTTCTTGACCTTTTCAACGAATAATGGGGGAAGGCTTGAAATAAATTGTTCTTTCCAATAGGGCTCTCTTGAATTAGTTAGCCTATGTACTTTGGATAGAAATATATCCTTATACCATCTAAAATCAGATACTGTTTTATACTTAAGATTTATAAGTTGTTCACCTATTCTTTCTGACATATCATCAACATTTCCTATAAAATGATTTAGTATATTTAATACTAAAGTGGTGACTGTATCTTGAATTGGTTGGCCTTGATTTAAGATCATTTCTCCATCTTCATCTCTTTTTGCCGAATTTATGATATAATCTCTTTCTGCTTGGGAAATGTAATTGTTCCACCATCCTCTAAGTTAGCCTGTAAAGCATTTGGTCATTACTGTGGCGATTATCTTTTTTTGATTCCCAGCCAGTTTACTGGCGCTAGCATATAACGTCATATGATGTATCATTTCATGATTTTGGTACTCAGTTTTCCCATCTAAATTCCATTCATAAAATGTATTTTCATCATAACTTACCCGAGGTCTTGCAGGTTCCTCAAAAAGTAAGTTTACTGGGGTATGCTTGGGGTAATAAGGTTTTAGAGGTGCTCATAAAAAACTAAAAAACCAAACCAAACTGAGAAAACTGAATCGACAAGTGTGTATATATATTATCCATATATTAAATATAAATATATGCATTATGCATATATATTTATAATCATCTATTTACAATATATAATATATTATATTTTATTTATATAAAACCAAAAATCAAAGAATCAAAGGTAAAAAACCAAAACTGGTAAACTGGTTAACTGATTGTACCAGTTTAGTTTTCATAATCGAATTGTGAGCGCCCTTAGAGGCTAGTAGTCCCAAGATGGAGGAAAGCTCTTGGAGAATGGCTGGTGATAATGTAGCACCACAACAATCGACGGAGTAACACTATCCTCTTGGTTTTACAACTCATTGAGGGTAATGACCTTAGTCTCTACACATGTGGAAGGTGCCAAGGGTTTGGTCACTATGGCTTGTAACCAGTCCAACAAAAGGGGAAGATGGGAACAAAGAAAACTTCAATCAGATATATTCTTCTTCAAGATCAACCGTTTATTACAAACCCGACCTGCCCTTAGATATAGGTATAGCCAAGAGAGAAAAGGAATTACAATTTTGGTGCATAAACGAGAAGCATTGAAATAAATAAACAAAGGAGTGGTTGAAACAATTAAACACCCAAATGCTCAAAATGGAAATTGGTGGTTGATAGAGTCAGACATGCGATTTAGTGGCCAGGATTCGGTGGCTGCTTAGTGTGATATCCACTGGTGGGTCGGTTCCGCAGTGTCGAGGGGCTAGGAGTCAAACTTCAGTACTTCGACAAATACTAGAACCACACTCGTGGGGAAGGGATTGATCTGTGAGCAAGGTGACCTCGTGAGGTTTAGAGTGATCTCATGGTGGCTATTCTAGTGGGGCAACCTCGCAAGGCTGTGTATTGCAAATAGGGCTGGGTTAGGTCGGAATCAGGCTAATCCTGGCCCAACCCTAAGTTTTAAACCCCCAACCCTAACCCTAACCTGACCTATCCAACCCTAACCCTAACTAAATTTCTTCAACCCTAACCCAACCCAAAGTCAACTTCGGGTTGGGCCCAACCCAACCTTCTTCCCATCCCTTAAAATCTTATAAAACTTCTTAATCTTAGATCTTAACTCAACTTTCATTAATATATTAATCCTATTTTTTATTAGTATTTGTTTATTGATGTTTTTATTGGTTCTTTAAGTATAAAATTCAGAAAAAAAATGAAATGACTATAATTTGTTATGATGACCTATAATAGATCTTTTATGGGCAGCAAGCTATGGGTGGCAAACAATGAAGAGGAGATAAAGAATGAAATATTCAAAAAACATAAAATATGTTATCAGGGTTTTAGTAATTTCAATCAAGTAAATGATAGTATGCGGTAGTGGTTATACAACTATCATGCATCTAAACAAATCAATGTATGATCATATATATAATATATATTTATATATGGTATGTAATATAGAGTCAGGTTCGGGTTGGGTCGGGTTGCCCAAGGCGTCAACCCTAACCCTAACCCAAACATCAACCCGAGACCCAACCCAACCCGACTTTATCTGGTTGGGTTCAGGCCATCCCGACCCAAGTTGCAGCCTTAATTGCGAAGCAGGTGCAGCCCAGGGCATTGTTGCGTTTGTGACCTTTCTCCCATCTTGGCCTTAGCCTGAACCTCACAATCAGCGATCTCGTGGGCTGCATCAATTACTTATGGGATCTATGTGTTAGATTGTAAAAAGAGTTTTATGGCAGCATCAATTACTTGTGGGATCTATGTGTAAGATTGTAAAAAGAGTTTTATTATGGCAGCAGGTGGTATGTTGATGGATTTGGTGGGGGCTGAATTGAGAGCAATTAGGAAGGTTATTTTTGCAAGGATAACCAAGGAAATTTCGTTCCAATTAATCTTATCTAATGCAAAGAATGTTTTGGATTCTCTTAGTTTTTAGACTTAGGCGTGGCCTGGAAGTATAACTTTTGGTGGGGCAGTCCTTCAGTTTGTATTGAACAGTTTGCTAATTCCTTTTGCTATTGAAGTGTTATTTTGTCCATCAAAAAAGTAAATAATAATAAACTCTTGGATGTGCTCTGGGGCGCCCTAACTCCAGATAAAATCCTAACCAAGTAGCAAAGGTCTCATCACCCTTCAACATCCTTAGGACCTTAGTTGGATAGCATTATATAATCTGGGCTAAATTTTAGAAATGAAAATGGAAATCAGAAATCTGGATTCCAGAATCTCAACTCTGAATCCCTTAAAGTTTGGAATGCAAAAATTCTAACAAGCGTTATGTTTTAAGTTTTTAACCAACAAGAAGGCAATCATCATTTATTACACTCTCTAGTTCGCCCATTGCTATATTGAAGATTATATATATACCCTTGTTGGCCATTAAATTTTATGGAAAGGTATCGATTATCAATCTGTACTTGAAAAGGTTTGGAAATTCTGCAAAGGTGAAGTAAAAATGCTAATGAAATGACAAATTGGTATACAGCTTATTGCCGATTCCTTTGTCCAGTGGGAAATGAATTTGTTAATATAAATGCAACAGTTCTATTATTGATGAGACTGTACTTCACAAAGAAGAAATTGTGCAATTTTGCTCCCAGCTTTCCATTTCACTGGGGCTTTTCACTTGTAACTATATATAATGTACAGAGATACCGGCCATATAGTGATGGAAAGCTCTTGGACAAATTAATAACTTAGCTTCGTTTCCTACTGATATAGGACTTTATGCATCCCTGAAGAGATTGGTTTGGCGGCCAATCCGTAATGGCAGCCCAAAATTTTGATATATTCTAATTTCGCCTCCTACGCCTGCTGTCACCAGCACTAGACCCCATGCTGTTGCTTGAATGGTAGTATTCCCATTGTTGCTACCTCCATCAAACCATGGCCAAGAAAAAGAGGGAGAAGTTCCTTGAGCAGAAATAGATGAAGGGTCAGCATTCTTAACAGAATTAGCAGATGAAGAGAATGAGTCAGAGGCACTAATCCCTGAGTCTGAACGAGCAACTTCCTCTTCTGGGCAGGTTGTCCTCTCCGAGAAGCTACCCTTCTTGGAAATGGGTGGAACATTTCTCTTACTCATCGACTCTGAACGAAGTGATGCTGATTTTCCAACTTCCTCTTCTGGGCAGGTTGCCCTCTCCGAGAAGCTACTCTTCTTTGCAAGTGATGGGGCATTTCTCTTGCTACCGCCGCTCACAGAGCTATCTTCAATGTTTGAAGGACCTGGAGAAGAGGGAAGTGGTGGCAGATTGGAGCGTTTTGATTGTTTTTTTGGGGGGTTTAAATTTACAGTTGGTGGTTCAAACTTGATACTTCCAGGCCATGGTATTGCAACTGATACATCTCTACACGGGAAATGTTCATGAGATCGATTAGTAATCAAACCTCTGCTTTTTCCACCACCTACATTACGGGTTTCACCATGCCTCCATACATAAACATGAGAATCTTCACTTGCACATACTACATAGTTCCCATCTGCAGTGAAAGATGCTGCTATTTGGCTGCTTATATTTCGAAAACCTGCTAACCATCAGTTTACTGAATGAGAAAACATGATGTATGTGTGCATACATAATGTATGTATGGATGTGTATTATCACCATAGGATGTATATATATACATCTATATAGGTACACATTCAGAAGATTTAATCAATGTAACAACTATATAATTTTTATAACAATCAAAAGTTTCAGGTAAATTCATTGATCAATTTAGACCCAGAATAGATCCAATCCTATTATATATCTTTAGGATCTGAAATTCTTATAATTGTAGACTTGCTAGTGCAGATACAATTCAGTTAGATTATTTATAAGATTTGGAAATGATCAATACCAATCTATGTCAGATCCAAACCTGATGGCTGGGATCAAATGCTTCCATATATCCTTTGTGAAAACGTCACATACATGATAAACTTCAGTCTCTGTAGCATCTCAACTGAAGGGCCTAACGTGTTTTCTCCCACTATTAATATGTTTTTGACAATAAGTTTTAGCTCTATCAAATTGAGACCTACAGTCATTTTGATTTGGATCATAACCAATAGAATGATTGATCAGTAATAGAATGCATGCTTTTGTAGAAAAAAAATTTACCCACTGCCACTTATATTACAATATTTGTTGCTCATATTTTTCATTCAATGGTAGTAACTGTTTTGAATACTGTTGCTTTCACTTCCTTTTCTTGGTTATAAAATAAGCAAAAATATAGCTGAAATATTCACAACTGAAAACTTTTCTCATGGTTTTCAAAACCAGACCGGATCGGACGGTCAGACCGGAAAAACCGGGAATCGGTCACCTGGCCGGTTCCGTTTTTTCCCAAACCTGCTTTTTTCCCTAAAACCGTTGATTTTTGTCAGCAAACCACTGAACCAGCTGGTTAACCATCCGAACCGTTCGAACGGTTTTGACCGTTTTTCAAATTTTTTAATTTTTTTTGTTATAACAGGCCGGCCATTTGGGTCGAACAGTCGGACCATTCGGACCAGTAACCAGACCCCTGACCGGTTCAGTTTTAAAAACCATGACTTTTCTATCCATTTTACATTAAAACAAATGGATCCTAAATCATTTTTTCCTCTAGCAAGAATGGTTGAGACCTAGAATTGGATGGGAGATCTTATCATGAAAGATAAACCACACTAGAAAGATGCAGTGGTGATCCATGGATTGTTATCTTGAAGTGTTTACTGTATTTATTTCTTTTCTGCACAAAAATATGCAATAAAATTGTTTGGGGGTGGTCATCTGCTTCATTTAAGCTTTAACATAAGAAAATGTCGTAGGTGAGATCCACCAGATGGAAGGTCATGTATATTGCATTTGTACATATATATTTTTTTTTTTATATTCAGTGATATGCACCACTAATAATCTCCCCTTACCCCTTTTCTCCCCAGGTGGTTGTGAGATTTGATTCCGCATCAGTGTTGGAACAAACCAGCTAATACACCAACGAGCCACCTCTCGGTTGGTTGCATTTGTATTGCATTTGATAAATATACCATTTTTCTAGCAGTATGAACCATCTACTAACAAGTATAATAGTTTTGTAGTTTATAATACATATTTTTGAGAGTACCTCTGTATTTATGAGTAATAACTAAACCATCACAAATCCAGATCTTTGAATCAGCAGCAGTAATCAACACCTCAGAAGGATTCCCTGGACAAAACTGTTCCAAGGACAAATTAGTCAGCCTGCATATATTATTCCATTATATAGAAAAAAAACACCAAATGAAAAACTTGGCAAACGAATAACAAATTACAATGATTAATTGTAAAATTGGTAGAATTAAATGTATCTAAGGCTCAGTTTGGAAGGAGTATAAATGCAAATATGTAGAGTGCAAAACCTTGTATTTTGTATGTATTTGTATATTTGTACTCTTTCCAAACTGAGACTAAATAATTTAATTGAGACCTTCGGTCTTGGAAATGAATTGTTGATTACCTGGAAGCCAGTAATTTTTTTCCCCTGAGACTTCTTTTTGTTCTGGAGGTCTATCTCACCTTTTGGAAGCAGTTTACATTCTGAATCACCAACAAAGGGGCATAAGCATAGGTCTTTCAAATGAACTAGAAGGAAAGGAGTATCCATAATGAGAAAGTAAGTCCAGCCATCATTTAGACTCTATGTTAACAAACTTTCTTGTACATTTGTTATGTTTTCCTAGGATTTGAACCAAAGTTGATGGGTTACATTGAAAGATATCCTTGGAAAACAACAAACGCAATTGATGGGCTTGACATATCAAAGATACAATTGATTTCCCATGATAAATTATATACGTTTCCCAACTATTCAAAAGAATGTGACAGGTTAAGGTTATGGAACTGAACATGTCACCAGTGCTACAAAGACATGTCAACCCAGTTGGTCAGATTTGTTGATATACTTATTATAATATGTACAAAGACATTGCTGTCCCTAGATAAGTGTTGGGACAGTAACTTAAACCGGAACAGATCTATAAACTAGTAACTAATATAAAACAAAGTGAATACAGCATATTGCCCTTGATAAATTGACCACTCCTAACATTCCCACTCAAGATAGAGAGTATATATCATATAATCCCAGCTTATTACATATGTAATATACTCTTCCCCGACTCAAACTTTTTGTAAACAAATCCACCCATTAGTTTTACTGAACTCACATGAGAGGTGTTGATCACTCCATTGACAACCTTCTCTCTTACAAAATGACAATCAACCTCTATATATTTGGTTCTCTCATAGAAGAAAAGATCAAAAGAGATATGGATTTCTGATTGATTGTAATAGTATAGTTTCATAGGACTGGCCACTACGAATCCAACTTCCCTAAATAGATGCTTTAGTCACACCAGTTCACACATGGTATGTGCCATGGCTCTATATTTATCTATGGCAATACTCCTTGCTTGGATCATCAAGAAATTCACTTACATCAACATAAAGCAGCTTCGCATTCGAGTCCATAGGTGATTTAAACAATTTATCTCCTAGCAGACATGTCTCCTTTAATAAATCAAGTACATGCTTCCTTTGCCATAAGTTGATGTCATGTCTTCACCTTGCAACTTATTTACTAAGATCCTTTGTTTGAAAATTTTCTTCTAAGAACCCTTTTAACTCTTCAATTCCCTAAACATCACTTCTAGTGGTTACAATATTGCCAACATATACCACCAAAAGGATTTTAACTACTATAGGATCATAGTAAAACATAGAACTATTGCGATGCATGTGTAAGTGTATGTGTCTCACATTGGAAAGGGATAAAAGGCAAGGAACTTATATACAAGGATTGGCCCACAACCTAATAGCTTAAGCTTTTGGGTTAAAGGTGGTGTTCAACACTTGATAACTCCCACGGGTCCTCCAAGAAGAGGTATTAGAGCTAATGGTTTGATTGGGTGCAAGTTTGATGGATGCATGCAGTGACTCCCATGGCTTTGCACGTTTCCCATGGTCAAGTAGTTTGCAAGAGTAATTGGTGACTACCATGACTCCACCTATGTGAGCAATTGATGATTCCCATGGCCTAACACACCCAAGGTTGAATGTTGATGACTCTTTATTGGTAGTTGGCATTTGAGTGTGGGTTCCCTACGGTCATGAGGAAAGGGCTCTTGGTTGGTGCATGTTAAACTTAGTGATGTGATAACAACTTTTGTTTGAGGGGGTGGGGGGGGGTGCTCAATTGATGTGGATGATAAGAGAATGACACATGGGGGAGGGGGAGGGGGTGATTGTTGGGATGTACGTATGAGTGGGTATGTCTTATATTGGAAAGGGATAAGAGAAGTAAGGGACTTATATACAAGGATTGGCCCACAACCTAATAGCATAAGCTTTTGAGTGTCCAACTCTTGTAAGTGTTGCCTATGTGTACAAAAGAACTCCTTGATTTTGGCGGTGTGTATGGAGGGTTAAGTGGCTGATCGCTTTCTATTATTTTTGTTCAATTAGGAGAAGGTCTAGGAGTTTATAGATTGCTATCTTACTCATAGGGGTGCTCACAGTTCGGTTAACCGAACCGTGGGCCTTTTTCTGTAACCGAACCAGTACTACCGATTTTTGGAAAACTGGCAATTGAAATCGAACCAAAACCAATTGGTTAACTGTTAGTTTGGTTCGTTGGGTTTTCAGTTTTTTTTTTTAATTTTTACAATATATATTATATAAATATATAATGAAAAATTATAAATATATATAAAATATTATATTTTAAATAATAAATAATATATCATATACTATAAATATATATTTATATAATGCATATTTATTAATTTATAATATATAAAAATTATTAAATATATATTATATATAATATACATAAATATATATAAAATATATAGAAATATATGTATACCGGTCGGTTTAGTTAACCACTGGTTTTCCATATTGGTTAACCAAAATCGAACCGGCACCTTCAGTTTTTTTAAAACATCGTACCAACCGGTTCAGTTAACTGATTTTTCGGTTCAGTTTCAATTGATTTTTTTGGTCAGTTCGGTTTTTTGATTTTTTTTCCACCCCTACTTACTCCTAAGAAGTCCTAGCAAGTTTTTCCTACATCTAAACTAACCCAAGAAAAGAAGACCAATTCCGTTTTGAACATATAAGAGGTGTTTGAGGTTTGATCTTGGGGATCTATTGAAGTATTTTTGACCCCTTTTGATATTGACCATGGAAGGAGTTTGAGTTGGGATCACTAGTAAGAGCAACTACAACTTCTCTAGTTTCTGCAAAAGAAATCCTAGAGAGTTTTGCCTTACATCTAAACTAATCCAAGAAAAGAAGACCCATTTTTCTTTTGTTTACAACATATAGGAGATGTTTGAGGTTGGTGCTTGGGGGTCTATTGAAGTACTTTTAACCCCTTTTAAGATTGATCATGGAAGGAGTTAGTGTTGGGATTATTAGTTGGAGAAGCTATAGCTTCTCCAGTTTCTCTAAGGATCTAGGGTTTGTATAATCCTAGTTGTTAAAGGAAAACTATTTGCATATAAGTTATTTTGAGGTTATTATACCTCTTTCATAGTGATATTTTTAGTGGGTTTTTGAATTAATGAAGCAGTCTAGACTTGATTCAAAGTAGTATATGGAATCCAAAGTTGGTCCAAGTGGGTCTATAGACCAATTTTTTTAGTACTGTGACTACAATAAATTAGATGAGACCAATTACATATAGTCTAAGTCTATTCATATCTATGTTTGTAGTAAGGGAAACTTAAGCTATCATACAGACAACATAAGAGGCTAGAGAAGACAAGCCCTACTTATAAGAAGTGAATGCAAGAAAATTATATGGTGATTTGGTGACTTGTGAGTTTGATGCAATGGCATATTAGTATGCATTATGTATAGATGGGTTCAACCATGGAAGTATGGGATAACGTGGCTGAAACATATTCTTAGAAGATGAGTGTGACTAGAGCTTACAGATTGACGAATTATGTGAATAATCTAAGATAGGGGAGAAGTCACTAGCACTATATTATTCTATGCTGAACTCTTTGTGATAGGAGAGAGATTTTCTTATTTGTGTGGTAAAGTAGTAAGGATGTAGAAACATACAAGAAATTGGTGGAAAAGAACAACATATTTAAGTTTTTGACTAGACTCAACCTTGAGGAAAAGGATGAGATTACACTATCTTGGGTTTAGTTGGTGGAGGTATTTTTGAAAGGTAAATGTAAATTGAAATATTTTAAGGATGATAAACCTTCGGCTAGACTAGTTGGGTATAATGAGTGAGAGTAGGAGAATACCTAAATCATGACATGGTTGTGGAATAATATGGATCCTAAGATAAGCATTAATCTTATGTTCTTACACTCTACAAAAGAGATTTGGGAATATGTCAAGAAGCTACATTTGGGTCAATATAAAACACAAGAATTTATTAGCTTTCTGAAGACTATTTTAACATACAACAAGGGAATCAAAATCGGGAAGAAAACTATGCTAGCATGAGAAACCTTTGGAATAAGATTAATGTGTATCAACCCTTGATCTCTAACATCAAGATTCAAAAAAAAAAAATAGTGGGAGCTTATTGACATGATTTCTATTAGTTTCGAGACAAGAGTATAAACCCATTTGTACACAAAACTTGGGAAGTTCTATCCTCCCCTCTCTCGAAGAGGTATTTACTATATTGTTCTAAGACATGGACTGGACTGGATCAATGATCCAAGTGTTGAAGGATGAATATGTGGACACATGTGAGGTAGAATGAGTGATAGAGGTCTTCTCAAGTTGACAGAGAGCCCCACCATATTCTTCCAACTGATCATATAAGGTATTCAATATTCCCTCCTTAAAGTTAGAACCTATGGAGATACTCTCCTGAGATGAACCACTAGAAACTGCATTAGCTAAACCAAAATTCTTCCCAAAATGTTGTGGTTGCTTCTTTTGGAAGCACTAAAAGTTCTTCAACTTGCCAATAAGGTCCCAACATGTCCCTTTGGTATGTCTAGGTCTACCATAGTGAGTACATCTTAACTTATCTTTATCAACTTCCTTGTAATTATAAATAGAATAATCAAGAGATAAGAGATGAAGGAAGAAGAAGAAAAGAATGAAATAGAAGGCATCACGTTGGGTTAGTGGAGACACCCACTTCACCCTAATATATTAACAATAATAATAATTATAGAGTGGTCCCTTGAAAGAAGAGAATATATAGAAAACCTCCTAGCTCCATAAACATATAAAAATCACCCCTAATAACATTTCCCCTTTAAGTGGGGCTATAGATATCATGTAAACCCAACTTGATACATAACTCTTCATAGTGCATGGAATTCAATCCTTTTGTAAATACATCAGCCACTTGATCTCTTGATTCGACAAAAGGTATACAAATTTTACCCCTTCACACTTTCACAAATGGAATGCTTGTCAATTTCAATGTGCTTGATCCGCTCATTGAAAACTGGGTTATGACTTATGAGCAATACCTATCAGACTTATTATCACAATATAGTGGTATAGCATCTAAATTCCACATACCCAACTCAATAAGAAGTTTT